CGCCGTGTCCGCCGCGGTCCAGGAGCGCAGGTCCTCGTTCAGGGCGAGGTAATCCGCGCCGTCGTAGGCGAACTGCATGTACCCGCGGAGGAGGTTCCCGTCGGGCCCCACTTCGCAGGCAGACGTCCACTGGACGGTGTGAGACCCTGGCCCTGGCCCTGGCCCTGGCCCCGCCCCCGCGGTCAGCCCCGCCCCGCGGCCCGGGTCCCCGCCTCCGAACCCCAGGGCTTAAAGCCAAAACTGAAAGGCGGGTAAAGGCTCTTCCCAGGTGGGGAGACGGGCGGGTCCCGCAGCCCCGTCCGTGGGGACCGGAGCCCGCGTCGCTCACCGGCCTCGCTCTGGTTGTAGTAGCCCCGCAGGGTGTGCAGGCTCACTCGGCAAGTCTGTGCTTGGTTCTTAGCCTTCCTGGTGTTTCGGTCCCAGTACTCCGGCCCCTCCCGCTCCATCCACTGCGCCCGCGGCTCCATCCTCGGACTCGCCGCGTCGCTGCCGAACCGCGCGAACTGCGTGTCGTCCACGTAGCCCACGATGATGAAGCGGGGCTCCTCGCGGCCGGGCCGGGACACGCCGGTGGAGAAATACCTCAGGGAGTGGGAGCCTGCGGGCGCGGAGGGGCTGAGACCCCGCGCTACCTTGCTCCCGGCGCGGGGCCGAGGCGCAGGGGGAGGCGGCTGGGAGGGCAGGGGGAGGGGTACCAAGGGCGGGAGAGCGGGGCGGAGGCGGGGAGGGGCGGGGCCGGGAGCGGGGGCAGCGGAGAGGCTCCTCCCCGGGGGTCCCGCTGGGCGGTCCCCTTGCTCCTGCTGCAGAAGACTTTTCCTCTCGCCCCAGCACTCATCCGCCCAGGTCTTGGTCACGGCCAGGGTCCCCGACAGCGGCAGGACAAGGGTTCGGGGCATCACGACTCGCATCCCTGGGGTCTGGAGGAACTAAGTCCCGGCGGGTCTGTGGCACGGACAGGCCGGGAACCGCGGGGACGCTGATTGGCTTCTCTAGAAACCGGACAATGGGAGTGCGAGCTGGGACTACGTCATGAGTATCCAGACGGGAGGACCTGGCAGGTTGTGAGAGCGAGAAGAGAAACACGCAGAGTAAGGGACTGGGCTTCCCTGCCCCAGACGCTCCAGGCTCTCAGGACTGGGACTTCCAGAGCCAGGCCTTCCAGAGCCCCGGGCTTTACCCTGATTCCTCTCCACCTGCACGGAGCGCTCTTTGTCTCACTGTCTCCCTGAGGCCTGGCCCAGGGTCTTTCTGGAAGAGACACCAGGGAGAGACACCAGGCTGGGATCAGCCCCCTTTTGTCCCTTTCCGTTCCTGGAATCCCTCGACTTGAGCTGAACTCCTATTCCTTACTTCTCTTCCCGACTCTTCTAAAAGAAAACTCACCCCCAAGAAACTGGGTGCCAGAGAGTGAGCTCGCTCTGGGAATGGAGATGAAGGAACGGGAATTTTCTCTTTAAGCCTGGAGTTTCGATCGAAAACCCCAGCTAGAGATTCTCATAGAGATCAATTTCATTTTTGTTAATTCACTACAGTGGTAGCACAATCTTGATAATCCCTGAACGTCAGAATCTGATCCCTAATGTGGTTTTGCCCCTTCCTGTAGAAATGTCTAAACAACATTGCAATCAAGACTCACAAAGCTACTAAGTTGTACTTTGTCAGACAGCATAACTGTGACTCTAAACTATTGTTTTGTTTTGTTTGGTGTTTGAAGTGAGACGAAACTCACTTCACATTTAATGACACAGGTAGGTTGAAAATAAATGGATGTTTTTATATAGTAGCACAGTTTACATGGAAACCAAAATTAAAAACACAATATTATTTACAGTTGTTAATAAAGAAAATGAAATACAGTGTATATACTTAACAAAACATAAAGGATCTGAACGCTGAATATTACAAAATGCTAATAAAAGAAATAAAATTAAATAGAGCCATAATATGTTCATGTATAAGAAGATTCAACTTAGGAAAGATGTCACTTCCCTCCAAATTGATCTATAGATTTAATGCAATTCTTGCCAAAATCCCAGTAAGGTTTTTTGTAGACATAGACAAGCTTATTCTAAAATTTATATGGAAAGGCATAGTACCTAGAAGAGCTAACACACTCGAAAAAGAGAGATAAAGTGAGAAGAATCACTCTATTTGATATTAAGGCTTATGATTTAGCTACAGTAATTAAAACATTGTAATGTTGGCAGAGAAATTGACATATAAATCAATGGAACAGAATAGAGAACCCAGGAATAGGCCCACACATATGCTCAGCTGATTTTTGACAAAGGCATAAAGGCAATTCAATGCAAAAGGATAGTCTTTTCAATAAATGGTGCTAGAGCAGTTGGACACCCACAAAAACACATAAGCAAACAAAGAAACTTGAGGCTAAATCTCTCACTTTATAAAATTAATTTAAAATGTATAATAGAACTTATATATATAACATTTAAAGTATAAAATTGTTAGAAAAGGGGCGCCTGGATGGCTCAGTTAGTTAAGCGTCTGCCTTCGGCTCAGGTCATGATCTCCGGGTCCTGGAATGGAACCCCACATCGGGCTCCCTCAGGGAGCCTGCTTTTCTCTCTCTCTCCCTCTGCCCTCCCACCACTTGTTCTCTGTCTCTCTCAAATTAATAAATAAAATCTTTTAAAAAAATTATTCAAGGGGCGCCTGCGTGGCTCAGTCATTAAGTGTCTGCCTTCGGCTCAGGTCATGATCCCAGGGTCCTGGGATCGAGCCCCGCATCGGGCTCCCTGCTCAGCCAGAGGCCTGCTTCTCCCTCTCCCACTCCCCCTGCTTGTGTTCCCTCTCTTGCTGTCTCTCTCTCTCTGTCAAATAAATAAATAAATAAATAAATAAATAAATAAATAAATAAATAAAATCTTTAAAAAAATTATTAGAAAAAAGAAAATATTTGGGCTATATCTTGACTGTGTTTATGGATATACAAACCTATATATATGATAAGATTCCATAGAATTAAACACATACCCAGATGAGTACAAGTAACACTGGGGAAACCTGAATAAGAGCAGTGGATTGTATCAATGTTAATATCTTAGTTCTAATACTGACTACAGTTTTGCAAGGTATTACCATTGAGTAAAAGTTACTCAGGATCTCTATTATTTCTTATAATTGCATGTGAGTCTTCAATTAGCTCAAAGTAAAAACATTAATTTTAAAAAGCACTTGCAACAAAAACAAAAACAACACAACTCTCATGGCTCCAATTAAAGCTCAAACTTTTTAGTTTCATATTCCTAGCTCCCTACAAACAGCCCCCAAATTCCCTTTCAAAGCTTACCTTCCACCAGCTGTCTGCACACACTGGCTTAATAATTGGATATTCTTGGGAGTTCCGTATGTCTGCTTCTCCACTCAGCTCATCCTCCAACCCAGTCCCCTCATCCACACACCCCAGTTCTACTCTTCTTCAAGGTTCACCTCCAAATGGCACTTCCAGCTGGAAGGAATCCCTCCGAGTTCTCAGGCACCTTCTTACCTTATATTAAAGCTTCGTAGGTACTTGTTTTCTATTTTCCACAAAGCTCTGAGCTTTTGTCTCATAGAGTTGAGATAATTTAGCTCCAATTCCTCACAGGTGCTAGTAAGCACCAGCAGGTCAAGCTATCATATTTTCTTTTCTTTTTTAATTATTATTGTTTCATTTAAATTTAATTAATTAACATATAGTATATTATTAGTTGCAGAGGTAGAGTTCAATGATTCATCAGTTGTATATAACACCCAGTGCTCATTACATCCTGTGCCCTCCTTAACGCCCATCACCCAGTTACCCCATCCCCCCACCCACCTCCCCTCCAGCAACACTCAGTTTGTTTCCTATGAAAGTCTCTTATGGATTGTCTCCCTCTCTGATTCCATCTTATTTTATTTTTCCCTCCCTTCCCCTATGATCCTCTTCTTTGTTTCTAAAAACAATCTTCATTCCATAGCTCTAAGTTTGTCTGTGTGAGTTCCCCTCATATCCTCAATACATGGAAGCACATGGAAGCACAGTTTGATACTAAGTATTTCAACCAGGAGTATGTACAAACAACTTGAAGAACCTCAAAGTTGCAATGTTCCATGCAACCAAAATGCCCTTCACCAGTGCTCCTGCATCGCCTATTTGTATGCATTATTCACATCTAAGCAGTGTGTGTATTTTATCTAAACACATATTTTATCCAGACACATTTTATATTTTATCTAGACACATGTTAAACTGATTCACATAAGGAGGCAACTGGTTTTCAAGCAGCCCCACAGAATATAGTAAATACTGATGCAAGAATATCTTGGTAAGACCTGTAGATATAGATTTAATAAAAAATCTATATAACAACATATTTAAATCTGAGAACTACACTGCTTTAGAATTCGTTCCCTCTGCTTCTCTTCCTCATCCTGCATCTCCAGCCCTTTCTGTGTCTCCCTCATCCCTCGGGCACACTCCTCTCCTTCGTCTCCACCACCTCTCACTCCTGAACTGGGGCCCTGGTACCACCCGATCACCTGCCACCCAGGGCCCTTCTCCTCACGGGCGCCAGCGATCCTGTTGATGTGCGTCAGGTCGGGTCATGTCTTCACTGAAAATGCTCCAACAGCTCCATCTCACTCTTGGGAAGCCTCTAGAATGTAAGGCACATGAGCACAGGGGCTTTGGGCTATTTTTGTCAGTTGTATTCCTAAGAAATAAACCTGTTCCTGGCCGTAGTAGGGAGTCCTCAAGCACAGGAGCAGCCCCTTGTGTCTCGGAAGTAAGCCTGCCTTAGTGTCCCTCTGGGACCAGTCGTTGGCTGGGAATAGCCCATGAGACGCAAGGCCTCTGCACAAATGCTTTGGAGATTTTAGGGCACAGGAGTGGGTGTCCTTGTGGCTGACTTGGGGAATGTGACTTAAACCTTACACCTAAGGAATCTGGGCCACCAGAAGTCAAACCCTTCTGTCTTTGATTGCTCTGTGCATCCATTCACAGTTGCAGTGGAACAAGGGGGAACCAGGAGATACCCAAGTCTTTCAGGATTCCACACATATTCCTCCTGCCCCCAACCTGGGTGGCTCAGTCATTAAGTGTCTGCCTTCGGCTCGGGTCATGATCCCAGTGTCCTGGGATCGAGCCCCGCATCAGGCTCCCTGCTCAGTGGGGAGCCTGCTTCTCCCTCTCCTGCTCCCCCTGTTTGTGCTCTCTCTCTCTCTCTGTCAAATAAATAAATAAAATCTTAAAAAATATATATTCTTCCTGCCCCCATTATGGGACACCAGCCCCTCCCCATCATGCAGATGAGGGTCAACTACTCTTACCTCAAGAAGAGGGGCTCCTCTCATCTGCTGGTCTGGGAGTATGGAGTCCAAAGTACCCTGGAGACAACCATACTGTATAGGACAATGGGACCCTCATCATGTCCCCTTGTAAGAACGTCTCCCTTTTTGGAACCAGGACCTCCCACTTTACAGACTCCAGAATTGTGGGGACAGAAAGTGCAAAACCCTTCAGTGGATGATCCCCCATGATGGAAATTTAAGAGCCACACTCCTTGGTCCTGGACCCACTTATTTTTCCCAACGGGAACACAGCACCAGATAGCGGTCTCTGTTCCTTTAGAGTTGTTATAATCATTTTGGCCTCTGGCTTTCACAGGTTAACTGTCACTCCTTGGCCTCTATCTCTTCAGGGCCATACCCTCCCCATGGACACTAATGAGTCAACTTTAGGACCCCCTCTCCCACTGTCATCCCAGCCTGCAGAAGACACAACACCCCCAAACTCCTTAGTGATGCAAGCCCTCGTACAATCACCTTCCGGATGGCTTCTGTGAAAGTATGTCTTCTGGGTCCTCTTGTGGAACATAATCCTCTGGTGGGTCTCCTGGCTTCACACGATTCCTCCATTCCT